ATCAAGCCCTTAACTTTAGGATGCCATCTATATGCTGGATTTTCTTCTGGTTTAGTGTAGGGCTGGGTATCTTTGCTGATTTCTAGAAACGATTCCATTTCGATTCTCAAGGTCCCAAATCGATTTGATCCTCGATTCAATTCGATTGATTCGATTCGAATCGTGGAAATTTTGCCTCCGACAGTCAGAAATATTATAATTCTGATCACGCATCAGCACATTTCCATATTTTTTGTCTATAAAAAGAAAGCTGACACTTGCGAGACTTTGTCAAAGGTGTGAGCATCACAGCAGAGGCCTTTGTGTCAAAGTAACTGAGGATGAAACAGAAAAACATGGAGGTGATTTTCCTGGTCTGGGATTTTGTAAAAATATTCTGCAGTAGATCAACAACGAAAGAAAACCATTAATCAACATGTGAACATGACCTGATGCTGCTGAGGTGAAGCAGAGCAACGTTACAGAGGTTTGATTACAGACACAGCTGAGCGTTTTGCAATTTTGCATAATTTTAAAGTTGACATTTGTTCAGTGTTGAACGGCAGAATTGAGGCTTTCTTTTCCGAAGTAAGTAAAAGGAAAAAAACAGCGGCCGACAGGCTGTAAACAACGGCAGACTGGTGCGTAACAAGCAAGCGAATAATGCAGAAAACAGATTTTTAGATGGGAAAGTGCAGAGAGAGAGAGAGAGAGAGAGAGAGCTGTGCATGAAGTGTGATTTTATCCTGGTGGAAGCAAAACAGCAAGTCATGCCGATGTTTATGTGAAGCGCAGTTTGGATCTTCTTTTGCTGCTGGTTGAGTCAATATTGTTTGGAGAGATAAAAACCCGCAGCTTCAGAATCAGCGAGCTGTCGGCTTTCAGCCCCGACGGCGTGACCGTGTCCGTGCCAGCGCGTGAGAAAGTCACATCTCACTGATTCTGATGCGTCGGCGTTTTGTGTTCACGTCTTTGTGCAGGACCCGTGTTCCTGCTCTCATTTACTGTTTTAGGTGTTTGGTAGTTGTCGAAAATTTGTGAGGTTCAACTTGAGATTCTGGCGTTTCTGGCAAAATAAATTTATATCTAAAAATCGATTCAGGATTTTAATGACTAGATTTTACGTTATCAAAGCCAGAATTGATTTTAATCGATAAATCGATCATCAAAACCCAGCCCTGGTTTAGTGTTCTCTCCACAGGGCTGGTTAATCAAACTTTCTGATAAAATACTGCCCCCTAGTGGTGAAGGTTAAATTCTGCACAGTGTAGTTGGAGAAATGATTTTCACTGAGGTGAAAAGGTTCAGCAGAGAGAATACAGAGAGGGTATTTTAGTTACACTGATGAGAATCCACACTGTGTGACACTCACCATGTGATGCGGGGTCGTGGCGAGCCAAAAGACTCACAGTGCAGTGCGACGTCTCGGCCCTTGGTGGCGTTGTAGATGAACCCATCAGGGGACAGGATCTGAGGGGGGAGCTCTGAGACAGAGGGAGAGACGCCGTCATTAACCAATCACAGGTGAGACAGAACAAAGAAGGACGTGAACCCGGCGGGAAACATACCGACGACGTAGAGGTAGGTGTTGAGGAGGATGGAGCCGTGGTCGTTTTTGGCTTCACACTGGTACACGGCCGTGTCGCCAATGTTCACGTCTTTCATTATGAGCGTTCCTGCGGTCACCGTGCGCCGAGGTTCTTCATCCACTTCTACAGGGAGGGGGGGGGAGGAGGCAATGTAGAGTTTGTCAAACAGAAACAGGCTGAATCTAAAGAACTGTTTAACAGAGAAGCTGAGGCCCACTGAGAGGAGCAGCAGCTGTCACCGCCTGTCACCTCCCTCCCTCTGCTGCTTTCTCAGCTTCCCTCCCAGTGTGCTCATATTCCTTCCTTTTCTTCCTTTTATGTGGCGTTTAGTTTCTTTCCTCATTTTAATTTTCCTAAAAGCCCATCTTCATAAGTAACATGTAAACTCTGAATGTGCGAAACATCAAGAAGAAGGTTTGATACAGACATGTGGACTCTTTCTTTGTCTCATTTCCATCGTCCGTTCTTTCTGCCCTGGTCTTTTGATTCAGTCATTTCTCCCTCTTCTTTGTTCTGATGATTTGTTTCCTTACTCTCTGTTTATTTTTCTATCTTCTCACTTCTCTCTCTCTCTTTTGGTGAGTCCATCTAATTCACGTTAAGCTTAAGAGGCTCTCTGTCCACAGAAAGTCGACAGCCTGGAGCCAGGAAATGCTCGCTCTGCCCTGCCTTCAAATCTATGTCTGTGGCCATCAAGCTTTAATAGAATCAACATCGAGTTACCCGAAGGAACGGTTCACTCTGCAAAGTGCTGATCATCAGAGTAATACAAGTCTGTTTGCCCCAGCTGTTTAAAGGTAGTTTATCATGTGCACTATATAAGAAATCGATAACTCCTGAGTATCAGTCGCACACATCAGGTGCTACAGTTTCTCCCCAAAGAATCACAAACAGGTCCGTCAGAATCTCGCTGTACCTGTTAACAGCTGACCGTTGATCCTCCAGGTGATGCTGGGCCTCGGGATGCCGTCCGCCTGACAGTCCAGTCGGACTGTTTCCCCGGGAGTGTACATCAGGTTCTGAGGCTCCTTCATCCAGTAAGGAGCCGCTGGAAAACGAAGAAAAGCAGCATTTAAACCCTAAAATAGAAATCTCAGAGTCAGAACTTGTCTGTTGAACATTTGGCTCTAACTCTGAACAGGCTTCAGGACCTGTTGATGTTAATTAGTGAAGTGCTCCTTTGAAGTTGTGAACATGTACACATGTTCTTCAGTAAAGACTCACAATCATCTCAGACAGAGGAGCACAAACACGTTAGAGTTCAAACTAACACAGAGATCACGTCCTCACGGTCAGCAGAGCACCGTGATCGTCTGTGCGCTCGGCTCAGCGGCCTACCTTCCACAGTGACCGTGAAGGAGCGCGTGATGGAGCCGTGGGTGTTGGAGGCTTTGCATTCGTACTCGCCGTCGTCATCCAGGGTGATGTTGTCGAAGTGGAGCCAGCGGTCAAAGTTAATAACTTGGCCGGTTGTGTCTGCCAGGACACCATCCTTTTTCTTCCATTCCACCTGAGGTGTGGGTCTGCAGAGACGGACATGGAAGAACAGAAGGATGTGACTGTGAGAGAGAACCGATCATGGAAGTGAGGTAGGCGACGAACAGAAGATCGATCACAGGAGGAAATTAGAGCTGAGTGCATGCAGATGATCTTGGTAATGATGTAACATCCTTTTTCATCATTAACTCAAAATTATAGTGAGAGTCCATTTGTTGCCATAGACAGGAAGCAGGATCATTAGAATGAAACTGGACAGATCAAATGATTTCATATGAAGAAAAAGGAGCAAGGCTGCATGAGGTCAGCAGGCCAATTTCTTACGAGCAGAGAAAATATGAAACAGTAACTGGGTCCTGAGTGTGGTTGTTGTTGTTGTTGTTGTTGTTGTTGTGTGTGGCTGTAGCAGAAAAGCCACAGCTGAGTGTTGTGAGAGCAGCAACTGGGAATAAAGTGTGTTGAAAGAGTGAACCAGGTGGGTCAGTCATTCTTATGCCACAAGGATCATAAACATGAAATGAGTTTCACGTGTAAACAAGGTGGAAGTACACACACACACACACACACACACACACACACACACACACACACACACACACTGAGATGCTTACAGGCCTCTGGGTAAACATTCCAGGGTGATGTTGTTCCCCTTCAGGGCTGATATTTGGGAGTGGTTCCTGTGATGGAAGAACTCGGGTTTTCCTCCATGAGCCACGCTGTTACCTGGACGATGTGAAGGCAGAAATCAGGACACGGAAACTGTGAAGCTTGATCATCACGGTCATGCTGATTATTGCAACAATAAATGATGAAATGAAGACAAATAGCCAACAGGGCAGGGCTGATTAGTCGACTGTGATCTAGTTACTGAGCATATACGCGTCATCATAGCGATACTCAGTGGAACAAACACTGGTGTCTCAGTTGTGTTACAGTGTAGTCTGCATGACATAATTAACAATAGAGCGTCAACACTGCAGGACAGTTTTATGCGTCCTCACTGTTCTGGCTGATGTTACCTCACACAGGACAGCGTGATGCTCTGACTCACTTTTTTTCTTATCTCTATATTTAACACTTTGTGTGCATTGTGCGTTGTGTGTGCGCTCACTCGGCTTGACAGAGAGGGAGACAGCAGTGGCAGGTAGAATAGTCCTGGCCTCTCTGTACTGGGCGTGGCAGATGTAGTCCTCTCTGCTGTCACTCTTCACGAGGTTCGCGAAGTACAGCTTCCCGTCCAGGCCCATCGTCACTCTGTCACTCCGAGTAATGTGCATCAAATCTGAGCCGGGACGGGGACAGTTTAATGTAGGTGGGAAATAAAGCATGG